AAGAGAAATAAGACGAAACATATGTATGTGGAAGCGAATGATATTTCTACCACTTTCAATTACAGCTATTACCCCTATAACATCCTGAATTCTTAAATATTAAACAGAAAACTACTTAATATCATTTTAATCGCTTTTAACCAAATTACCAAACGTATAAAAGTCCCAATTAAAACTATAGAGATCTTTTGGAATATTTTCTCACCGTTGCCACAACAACAGACGGTGGCTGTTTACGGACATCAGCTAGTATCTACAAAACGATTAAGAAAAATAAATATGAATAATTTTATGAAAATTGTATGCTTAGTTAAGTTGTGTGTTTAACACGATCGCAGCCCAAGAAAAATTGCCGAAAAAACCAAAATAAATAGTTTTAGAAATTTAATATACGTTTTACATGTTAAACATTTGCACTTTAACATTATGCAACAACTGCAACATTGCAGACCATGCTTCATCAACTCAATTCATTCTGCTTGATCCTTATGGTACCTCTCTCTTTTACTGTTCCTTGCCTGCTTCTTGAAAAACATCAAATGCATAATGCTCGTGTATAATATTGAATGGTGAAGAAGAAAATTAGATTTTTAATTAAAATAATTTTGTATGCAATTTAGATAATCGCAATTTTGCTGCCGCGGCGGCGGTATTGAAAATGTTTTTGGCTTTTCATAAATGCGTGCGATATTTTGTTGGTTGATCACCGTAGTTTGAAGGGAAGAAATTGGATAAAAATCTTAAATTTAATGGATGAAAATATCATCAACTTAATTTATATTCTAAAATAGGACTCTGATAACTATTCAATCGCAACTATTTTCCCTATAAAAATTTGGATAATAATCTTGTCGGATACTCAAGTCAAACCAATCATATTGGTAGAGAAGTCACTTTTCTAAACCTCTATTATATAAGTATTCCTTGAAACCACTGTCCCCTAGTCAAACAATGCTGTTGTTGCTCATTTTAGTTATAAGTTTGGTAAGTAAGCATAAACGGGCGTTACATAAGGGCGTTTACCGAAACAGTGAAAATAAAACGAAACAAATTTATACTCAATTGATGTTGAATAGTCTTTGGCCAAAACTTAACTTAAACAAGGAACTAAACGTAATATAAACATGATCAGCATATAGCAGACGAAACAACAGTCAATAATTTTAGCTTTTTTTTTTGTTGGTATGCAAGATCATTTTTAATAAGACTTCAAAAAAGAGCTCGTTCTTTAATAAATTCAGCCCAAAAAAGAGCAACATACAGAAGGTAGAACATTTTGGTAGATAGAAGAAGCTAGCTTTCGGTTTTTGTTAGAGGCTTTATAGTTAAATATAAAGTATGTTTAAATAATATTAAAAAACATTTTGGTTTTTTGCAAAAATAGAAGTTTGTCTGTGTAAATAACAAGGCGTTTAGTTTGTGCTTAAAATAAGTACAAGCACTTGGCGGTTTCATCTTTCACTAGCATTTTTTTTTGCTCAGAATTACGTGCAGTAATTCTAAAGGTCAAAAGTTGCTTTCCAAACTTTTATTGAGGCTGGCAAAATGTTCATACATATTTAAATTGCTCTTATTTTTAAGACTGTAGTATATAAAATGTTGGAAGTGGGCAATAGAAACGGTTAATCAGCAACTGCTTAAAAGAAAATTAGCTGGTCTTGTTGCTATCTTATATTTAGTTTTAATGTTACTTTAAACAAGTCCGCTTATGCATATTCATTATACCTTATCGTTTTTGCTGATCTTTGTAAAGCCCAAAATTATTAGTTCAACCCCCACCATAAATCGTTTCAGAATCACTTTCTGATGTCCTTACGTCTGTCTGTCTGTCTATCCGTCTGTCCGTCCAGCTATCCGTCCGTCTGTCTGGCTGTCCGTCTCTCCGTCTGTGTGTCCTACAGGTGATAATTTGGTGCAATTGAATGAAATTTGAATTTCTTTATGCCCAAGGACGAAGACTATTGAAAATGGTTAAAAACGGTTCATTATACAACCGTGTCCACCGAATATGGCTTTTGAGCTCATAAATATGTTAAATGTTCTTGTATCAATCACTTCAAAAATAGGCAAAACGTAGATTAGTCTCAATTATACTGCTAATTTTCGTAATGATCTGATCTCATATAAAGTCCACTTCAGAATCGCGAATTCATCTCATTACCATATCGATGGATTTTAAAGAGGACAAGCTTGTCACAGAAAATTTCAGAGTCAGGGTCTGTTTAGTACTCCCTACTTTTTGAAGATATAAACTCCTTAAATGTAAATATAGGCCTTTAAACACATATTGGTTAGATATTAAAATCTTCACTTCCAAGGTCAAGCAGAATATTTATTTTCTGACCAATTTCGATAGCCCCAAAAAATACGATTTAACTTAACTTCAAAGTACCATACTTATTGATTATAAAAGCTCATTGAGAGGTCGTTTGTCTGAATTTGTCTCTAGATTGATTCCCTTGGAAAGCGGCGATCTAAATGAGAACGAAAGATCCAGCTGAGTTTAAATTTATGGTATAATATTGAATAATTTCAATACTTTAAGACCCTACTAATAACTAATCTTTTCTTTTGTCTATATTTATGATCATTTTAAAAAATATCATTAGTATTTTATTGCTAAAAATTAGACAATATTTTGTATCTTATTAACCAAACTGCTGGTGGTCCTAAAGATGAAATCTCTCTAGTGGCAGAGTATTTTCTTTTCAAAAATACATAAAAATGTAAATCAGCAATCTAGGAAATATATTTTAAAGGAAAAAATAACAGATTTTAGTTAAAGTCGCAGTATTAATAAGTCATACGAAACACACAGCAGGATCGATAAGAAAATATATAAAATTTTAACAAAAAGTCATGAAATATTTTTTGGGCTCAAGATAAAAATATTTTAATGAATAGTGAAAAGTATATACTACAAATGAATGAGTGCATAAAGGATGAATGTGTGTGAGATGTTGTACATGATGATCCTTTTGGCAGATTGCAGTGATGACCCGTATTTAGATTAAGCAAGTCTGTAAGTCAAATAACAAGTCAGTCAGAGTATACGTACACACATATTTGTTAGTATATTGTAGGTGAGAAATAAAGATCAACAATTGGTATGCTAAGCATGATCCTTTTTTGGAAGAGTATCTCTGCTGTAACAGGTAAAATTGTGTAGTAGTAAATAGCAAGACTTGCACTAATAAGAGCTGTGGCGCCGAAAATCCATTTGTTATACTAAAATAAACCGTTAGAATTAAGGTTAACTTAAAAAAAATATATTGTGTGTAAGATAAACAGATTTTTATGTCTTAAAGGACTAGTGGTGTCCTAAAACAAACATTCTGACTGAGTTACACACTATATGTTATGGAAAATATATAATTTTGTATGCATTACAGGCATTTTCTAGATCTTTTAAATGTATACTTTAGCTGGTTGCTGGTTTTAATGATGTTTTCTTTGCTGCATTTTAAAATTTGCCTTTATTTTGCATTTCATTTTATTTGTTTTAGAAACGGATCATTTGTTTTTTCTTCACGAAATTTTGTCACCTGTACAGGCATCATGAGGATGATGATGTGAAGAGAAGAAGCTGTTTCGAAAAGAAAAAACTGCAGAGGACTGTTGCTTTAATTTTCTGGTAGCCTTTGCACTATTGTTACGCTCTGCTGGAAATCTTCATGTCCAGTTAATCCTCTACGTATATATGTGTGCATTTAACAAAAAAATGTCATTAATTCGTAATGAGAAAGGTGTTAGCTATACAAACACTCACATACTTAAATGTAATTTCGACTACAGTTTTCAAAATTCTCAATTTAAAACAATAAAGTTCAGGCTGTAAAAAATTTGAAGACAAATATTATTTGACACTCCTACTCGAAGGAGTATTGTCTTGTTCATATTGTTTCAGGTTGTGCTTAAAATCAATTAATATTTTTTTATTGTTTAAAATCTTTTGTATTTTTTTATCTTAACAATAATTGTATTTTTATTTGATTGAAGCAAAGAAAGAAAATGTGACAATTGTCCTGCAATAATGGAGATGACAATGAGATCAAGGAATTAGCCGACATCGTGTAAACTTTCTTCATTAGAACAAAGCGCACGATCACTTTATTTTGTTCATTGTTTCTTAAATTTGTATCTGATGGAAAATACGCCCTATTTTTAATGGAAAATATAAGTGATCGTCGATTAGAGCGATATTTACTGATCTACTTTTATGGAAAATACGAAGCTTTTTATACTCTATACCACTTTAGTGGGGGGGTATATTTGGTTTGTCCTATACCCACCATTAAAGATACCAATCGGCTTAGAGTCATTTTCTGAGTCGATTTACCTATGTCCGTCTGTCCGGCTGGCTATCCATGTCAACCCTGTGCTCAAGGTACAGGTCGCAATTTTCAAGATAATTGGACGAAATTTGAAAAACGCGCTTTTCTGGCCCAAGGACGAAGTCTATTGAAAATATAATTATTTTAAATATACCTGTATTTCGATAAAAAGTGACACAAATAAATTTTATACAAGCCTTAATGGCCTTGCAAAATTTCGTAAAGATCGGGGCTCATTTCAGCCTATCTCCCAAAGTCCTCCTCAGAAAATGACTTGAATGTCCAAAATTCATATATAAACACTAATATCGCGATGAAATTATGCATCTATAAACTATTATGATGCTAAATGTAGTTGACCAAAAATTGTTCTAATTTTCTCAACTAGAGAGTTATTAATGGAACTACATCCGGCTTTATGTTTTTCGTACAAAAAACGATTTTCTATGGTAAATATGAAAGATCACAGATCTTCTTCTTTCTCAATTGTTGCGATGTTTAATGATCTATAAAATCGAATCTATAAAAATCTTGTTACAAAATAAAGTTATCTGAAAATAATATTAAATTAAAGTATTTGTCATTATTTATATACATATATTTTCTTACATGATCTTAATTGTTAATATAATTTCTCTAAAAATATATTTATAAAAATAATATCAACTACCACAATCTACATTTTTTCACTGGATTCATGGGTGAGCCCAATTTACAATTAAACGCCTTCGCAAACTCCGGTGTATTTTGTATTGGCAACAGCGTTCGAAATTCATCGAAAACATGAATTTTAGATTCATTAAGTTTTTCTTCCATCTCTACTGCGCCATTACAAAAAGTCTGGGCAAATTTTATAAAAAATATTTGATTTATGTTAAAATCGAAATTTCGTATTGGTTTCTTTAAGCCCTCCTGCCAGCCACCAGAAAAATTCAAATAAGCCTCAAAACTTAAATGTAACATGGCATTATCGGCTACATTTTCCTCCATAGACAGTTCACTATTATCGATGCTTTTGCCGCGATAATAAAATTGTTCATATTGATTTTTTAAGCAAAGATAACGTTTTCTAAAATTCTCCAAAGATTGTTCAGATAGCCAAGCATTGTTGGAATATTTGTGCTGCTGTTCATCAAAATCATGCAGTTGATTGTCAGAGTCAAAGGCATGGGCCAATTCATGAGCAATAAATACGCCAACGCCAGCAAATTTAAGAACAGCGGGTAAATCCTTATGATATAAAGGCATTTGCATGACACCCATGCTTATATAAACAAGATTGAGCACGTTGTTATAAAACGAATTTAACTCAAAGGGTGATAAGAATGGCGGTACCAACTTTTGGTATACAGATTGCTTTAACATTAGTGTAAATTGAGCTTCCAAGTTTTGTAGATTTTCAAACCAATTAGAAGTTATTACTAAATCACCATAATGCTGTTTTGTAAAATCTGCCGAAATAATCTTCTCGCTAAATCCTATGACTATTTCCAGATCTTGAAGTTTTTGCCTTACATTTCGTTTAGATGTTTCGCTAAGCCATTTATAATTTTGAATGGAATTCAAAAAATATTGTTTTATATATTGAGCTATTTCATTGATATCTCTATGATTAGCCCTTGTAAAAAGCTGTTGCATAAACCAGGGCATCATAGCATAACGAAAGTATTTTTCCGTTAAAAAGCGACATTGTGCCCGTTGATTTTCCCGATCAGTTATTACTTTACGCCAGATTTTATAAAATTTTAATACAGTACAGACTTGAACATAACTTCTTAGAGTTAAAAGAGGCGTATTGCTTAAAAAATCGTGTAATTCGTTAATATTAGCTATTTCATTATTAACATACCAATAATTCTCTGTTTGATTTGGAAAAGCTTTCTGAAAAAATATGTTCCAATTAAGAGTATCACTTTTATGATGTAACAAAAATTCTGCCAAGGTTTTTCTCTCCCTTGGCTGGCGTTGTGTAGCTACACTTATTAAATATTCTTCAAATTGTAAAACATTATCCAAATCATTTGATTTTATATCAAAACTTGCTAAAAATTCATTTTTTAGAGAATTGTTAAGGAAATATGATATTATATATGGTTGTGGTAGGGACAAAGTAATTTCATATTCTCCACTTGCAGATGCCCATTCATTTATAATCAAAGGCAGCAGAGGATAAATGTTATAAGGAGACATAAAATTCACTTCTAACCAATCATATTCACCGGTAAACTTTAAACTGGAGTATATATCATATTCTTCTTGTAGTAAAAGATTTAAACCTGTTGTAAGATTTGGCTTAGTGTTGACACAGGATTTATAAAATAATTTAGCCTTTTGTTCACCTATATCTTGTGATCCCTTGATTTTATTTTCTAAAAAATCCATGGCCAAATCATCCAAAATATATTGCATGGTGTTTATTAGAGATAATGTACGTCCAAACTCGGGCACTTTTTTATTATGTGCCCAATTACCACAGGCAAATTCATAAAAGTCATCACAAGGATTCACAGTTTGATTTAGGTTGGAAAGCATGAAGAGTACGGTATTATCCACTAATTCATCTTTTTCCATAGTAGTGGGTAAATGGAAGATATTTTCTGTTCTTTCTGCGTAGTTTAAAGTGTAAGCTTTTGGTGTAGTTGGCATTATTAATAAAATTATGACACCATATTGTAGTTTTGGATAAATTGTTAGTATTTTCATTTCTTAACTTTTCTAGTTAACTGCTCTAAAGTTAAAGTGTTACTGAAATTAATTAAGTTTCTATTTCTTAGAAGACACTAAAACTTTTAGCAATAAAATAGCTAGTGGTCGGACATATTCGAATCTTTTATACCCTATTACTGCATTACTTAGAAGTAGTCTAGTAATGACTTGATAGAAAGCGTTGTACTTTCAGACAATAAGTGCAACGTAAGGAATCTATTCAATTCTCATTTAGTTAGGAATATTTTCCTAATTTTTAGGAAAACTTGGCAGTTGTGGTTTTTCTTAGCGTTTTAATTGGTATTATAGAACTGATTTCCATTATAAAGATATGCTTCACTTTGTTTATACCACTGAGTGTAGAGAATCGTAGTAAACTGTATTTTTTCAGATTTTTAACCATACTAATTGCATTTTAAATGCCTCATATTTATATAAATGAATGTTTTGTATTTTTTATTATTGATATATTTCACTTGGGGTTAGTAACCGTAAAAAGTTGAAATTTAAAATTTTATATAGTCAATAACATAGGTTTCTAACAGTTAAACACAAATGCAGAGTAGCACTATTTTAATAGATGACTATTACTTTTATAATAATTCATTATAATTAAGTCATCAGTTTGTTATATAGTTCTATAGTTTCAAATTAGCTTCAATCGGATTTTCTTGAACCCCAAGTCTTTATAAACATTCAAATCTACTTTAATTGTAGTTTTTTTATAAAAATGACATTCAATAAGCGCTTTTCATCTTTAAATTTAAATATAATAAATAGAGTGTGAGATGTCATCGATCGCTTCTAAAGTAACATCAATCGGATGTCCTTGCTCTCAAAGGCGTATTGAGAATTCAAATTTTTTGTAAGAAAAAACATGTGCTTCTATTAGCACTTTATTTAAACCCTTTCATACATTCTTTACAAAATTAACATTGAAAACGAAAAGGAAATATTACTTAACATTTAACACCCATTTTTTTATTATAATCGATTAGTTCACCCTTTGCTTTATTTTGCAGCAGACCTCATCTTAGCATCAAGACATTTATGAACATGACACAAGACAACCCTTTAACACCTTTGTGGCACACAAGAGTACACAAATATTACGCAAGAACAAAAAATGAAGAGCGAAGTGTGTCAGACACGCGTAACTAGTTGCTAATATAAACGGAAAGAAAATGAAATCATCATCATAATCTTTATCAAACGAGTACGAATAAATAATCATCTAATAAGTATTAAATAAAAACATTTAACTTCCTCCCTAAACGCACATTAACAAAAATACTAGAAACGGAAGGGTGTTGTAGAAGACACTATAAGAGAAAAAAACGAAAGGATTGCTTTGTTTTCTTTCGGTTCTACTATTAAATCAGCATATAAAAGAAATAGTTAAATGTCAATAACCGGAAATTGTAAACAAATCCTGACGCGTGGCAAAAGTTGCATAAACGACTCGAATTTAAATCAAATGTGAAAAAAAATGAAAGAGAAATCAAAAGATCAAATTTTATTTAAAAAGCAGATGCATTATTTTTTTCTCGTTGTCATGAAATGTGTTGACAAGTTCGGCAAAAAAGGATTGATTTCCTTTTGATTTCGTTTAGTCGAAAATTATTGAAAGGTGTTTTTTATGTAAAGGAAATTTCATTTTCATGATGCACAAACATTCACTTTTTAATGTCATGTTCCTTAAAAAAATAAAGGCGTTAAACAAATTTAAAGCTGTTTTGTTTTTACAAATATGATTTTCTTAAATTTTGTAATTTAATATACTCTCATGTTTTTTAAATGAAAGTAATCGGCTTTTACAAAGAGCCAAATAGATCGCATGTAGAATGTGACCTAGTAGGCATTTTGTTAGTTAGTTAGTTAGTTAGTTAGTTAGTAGTTAGTTAGTTAGTTAGTTAGTTAGTTAGTTAGTTAGTTTTTAGTTAGTTAGTTAGTTAGTTAGTTAGTTAGTTAGTTCGTTCGTTAGTTCGTTTTCGTTAGTTAGTTAGTTATTAGTTAGTTAGTTCGTTAGTTAGTTAGTTAGTTCGTTAGTTAGTTCGTTAGTTCGTTAGTTCGTTCGTTCGTTTTCGTGTTCGTTCGTTCGTTCGTTCGTTCGTTCGTTAGTTAGTTCGTTTTTCGTTTAGTTTCTTGTTCGTTTCGTTAGTTCGTTCGTTGTTCGTTTTCGTTCGTTCTTCGTTTTCGTTCGTTCGTTCTTCGTTCGTTCGTTCGTTCGTTCGTTCGTTCGTTCGTTTCGTTAGTTCGTTCGTTCGTTCGTTCGTTCGTTCGTTCGTTCTTCGTTCGTTCGTTCGTTCGTTCGTTCGTTCGTTCGTTCGTTCGTTTAGTTCGTTCGTTCGTTTCGTTCGTTCGTTCGTTTCGTTCGTTCGTTCGTTGTTCGTTCGTTCGTTCGTTCGTTTCGTTCGTTCGTTTCGTTCGTTCGTTCGTTCGTTCGTTCGTTCGTTCGTTCGTTCGTTCGTTTTCGTTCGTTCGTTCGTTCGTTCGTTCGTTTTCGTTTTGTTCGTTCGTTTCGTTCGTTCGTTCGTTCGTTCGTTCGTTCGTTCGTTCGTTCGTTCGTTCGTTCGTTCGTTTGTTCGTTCGTTCGTTCGTTCGTTCGTTTCGTTTTCGTTCGTTCGTTCGTTCTTTCGTTCGTTCGTTCGTTCGTTCGTTCGTTTTCGTTCGTTCGTTCGTTCGTTCGTTCGTTTCGTTCGTTCGTTCGTTCGTTCGTTCGTTCGTTCGTTCGTTCGTTCGTTCGTTTTCGTTCGTTCGTTCGTTCGTTCGTTTCGTTCTTTTTCGTTCGTTCGTTTCGTTCGTTCGTTCGTTCGTTCGTTCGTTCGTTTTCGTTCGTTCGTTCGTTCGTTCGTTCGTTCGTTCGTTCGTTCGTTCGTTCGTTCTTGTTTCGTTCGTTCTTCGTTCGTTCGTTCGTTCGTTCGTTCGTTCGTTCGTTCGTTCGTTCGTTCGTTCGTTCGTTCGTTCGTTCGTTCGTTCGTTCGTTTCGTTCGTTCGTTCGTTCGTTCGTTCGTTCGTTCGTTCGTTCGTTCGTTCGTTTTCGTTTTTCGTTCGTTTTCGTTCGTTCGTTCGTTCGTTCGTTCGTTCGTTCGTTTCGTTCGTTCGTTCGTTCGTTCGTTCTTCGTTCGTTTTCGTTCGTTCGTTCGTTCGTTCGTTCTTCTTCGTTTTCGTTCGTTCGTTCGTTCGTTCGTTCTCGTTCGTTCGTTCGTTCGTTCGTTCGTTCGTTCGTTCGTTCGTTCGTTCGTTCGTTCGTTTCGTTCGTTCGTTTCGTTCGTTCGTTCGTTCTTCGTTCTTTCGTTTCGTTCGTTCGTTCTCGTTCGTTCGTTCGTTCGTTCGTTCGTTCGTTCGTTTCGTTCGTTCGTTCTCGTTCGTTCGTTGCTCCTTCCTCCTCCCTCCTCCCCCCTTCCTCTTTCTCGTCCCCCTTCATTATTCAATGTACTTGTTTTATACCACGCACCTCGCTACACCTACATCCATCCTACCATCTCCATTCCATCCTCTCATAACAATATTTATACCCTACACCACTTTAGTGGGGAGGGTATATTGGATTTGTGCTGATGTTTGTAACATATAAAAATATTCGTCCTAGACCCACCTTAAAGTATACCAATCGGCTTAGAATCGTTTTCTGAGTCGATTAAGCTATGTCCGTCCGTCCGTCCGTCCGTCTGGCTGGCTGGCTGTCCATGTAAACCTTGTGCGCAAGCTACAGGTCGCAATTTTCAAGATAATTGGATGAAATTTGGCACGCACGTTTTATTTGACCTAAGGACGAAGCCTATTGAAAATGGTTAAAATCGGTCCATTATTTCACCTAGCCCCTATAGAACAGAACCCCCCGAAAAGGGCTTCTGAGCTCATAATTATGTTAAATATACAGATATATCGATAAAATACGGCATAACAAAGTTTTATAGAAGTCTTGATAACCCTGCCAAATTTCATAAAGATCGGGCCCCATTTGACCCTAGCTCCCATACAAAGTCCCCTTCAGAAAATTACTTGAATGTCCCAAATTAACTTATAAACACAAATATCGCGATGAAATTCAGCACAATAAAATATTATGTAAATATAAATATATTCACAAAATTTTATCGGGCTTGGTCCATATTTGCCCCTAGCCCCCATATAAAGCCTCTTTCAGAAAATTAGTTTTTCATCCATAAATTGCTTAAATGTATCGGAACAAGGGAATATTGAAGATAAATGCGATATTATGAAAAATAAATCACATTTAATATTCATAACTGGTGTAGGGTATCATATGGTCGGCCACGCCCGACTATACTTTCTTACTTGTTTTAAATACATAAACGTTTTTAAAATTATGTAATAATTAATGTTAAATTTAGAAAACTTCTTCAAATAATAAACATTGGTTTAGAATAAATTTATATATCGAACAGTAAACAGTTTTAGAAATTTGGCGGAATATATTTGAATAGTTAATAGTAATTTTAATAAAAAGTAATTTATTAAAAATTATTTAAAATAAAATTCAGTGAACCGTATAAAAAATGAGGTTAAAACAATGTTTCGCTCTAATAGCGATAACCTTGATATATTACACACAAACCACCGAAGCCACACTAAATCCCCCCAAGAGTATAAACATATCCAAACCCGCCGTTTTTCAAATACCCACTGCCATAGATGAAGATGATTTACTATATGAAATTGCACTTTTTATGAAGGACAACATGAATTTATCAGTGGAACCTTGTGAAGATTTCTATCAATTTGCCTGTGGTAATTGGACGCATAGCCCAAGGGTAACCCAACGTGGTCACAATGATACCCTATTACATGCCATACAATTGGAACTTAATGATTTAATGGTAGAATTTTTAAAGAATTCTTCCGGAACACAAAACCACACAGGAGAAGCCAAGGCCAAACAGTTTTATAGCTCGTGTATTTTGGGAGGCAAAGATTTTAATTTGGGTGTGAAAACTTTATTGGATAGTGAAAAGGATATATTCGAAAAACTTAAATTAACGGGAGAAAACGACTGGTTGCTAATAAATTTAATGTCTCCCTATGGTGTATATGCTCTGCTGCCTTTACATGTAAACTACAGCACCACTAGTAGACAATTTGAAATTTCCCTTAGTTTACCCATACCGCTGTTGCAACATTTCCATAATTCTTCTAACTTTAATGAGTTAATGCAAATACAAGGTTTAGCTAATGAAGAATTCGAATTAATGTTGGAATTTGAGCGCAATTTAACCGCTAAAGTTCAAGAACGAGATACTGTGGAGAGAGTAACCATTAAGAAATTTTTAAGTATACACGAGCAAGATGTTATCAATTGGAAATTATTCTTCAAAACAGCCTTTCCTCACTATTTGGCAGATGACTGGTATGTGAGTAATAAAGTAGCCAACTTTACACAATTAGAACGTTTTTTGCGCAAATCATCTACGGAAAATTTGCGTAATTATATTAAGTGGCGCACGATTCTAAAATTCTACAATATTTGGAAAGACCAGCTAACGGGAGATGAGCAAAGAGAGCAAGTCTGTCGCCAACATACCGAGTCGTACTTTACTTACGCTCTTATGCCTTGGTTTATAGAATACCTCTATGATGTGGAAAGAAGAGAAGATTCATTGAAAATAGCCGATGCCATACAAAATCAGTTCTTTGAAATGATTGCCAATTATACTTGGTTGGATGAGGAAACCAAATCGAAAATCAGCACCAAACTAAGAGCCATGGATATATCGGTGGGTTATAAAGATGAAATGCGTCATAGAACTTTATCGGATCAGATTTATAGTGATGTGGATATAACCACGGATTGGTTTAAAAATCTACAAAATTTGGAAGCCTATAGAGCCAGTATACGACTCAACTCGGTACACAAGACTATAGTACCGCCCATGCTGTCACCATTTAATGTTAATGCCTACTACGTGGACTATATTAATACAGCTTTTATAACCATGGGCATATCACAAATGCCTCTCTATCATGTGAAATTCCCGGATTCCCTTAAATTTGGTGGCATTGGCATGTTAATTGGTCATGAAATGGCTCATGGTTTCGATTCCAATGGCTATCTCATCAACTTCGATGGTAAAAGACATCAATGGTTGTCTCCTACCTCACTGCGTAACTTCAAGGAACGTTATAGTTGTTTGGAGAATCAATACAATAAATTTATCTATCATGGTATACAAACTAATGGTTCTGCTACTATGCCTGATAATATTGCCGATAATGCGGGTTTACGTTTCGCCTATCATGCCTACAGAAAGCATGCGACTGTGAAGGAGTTTGCAGAAAAACCTTTGCCTGGTTTAAATTTCACCAACAATGAACTATTTTTTATTAAATTTGCTCAAACTTGGTGCACGGGTCGAGATGATTCATATAAAATGCGTCATATTAAAATCGATCATCATGCCTATGGTGAGTTTCGGGTATTGGGGCCTTTGCGCAATATGCCCGAATTTGCTAAGACTTTTAAGTGTAAGTTGGGCAGTCAAATGAATCCTTTAAAAAAATGTGTAGTCTGGTAATTTTGGACAAAATTTTTAATAAAAAAATGTACAAAATATTTATTTTAAAAAGTGTTTTCATTTGAATTTAAAATTCTCCAAAAATTTTAAATACAATTTTGAAAAAAATAAATATTTTTATTTTATAAAAATACCTTTTTAAGGAAAATGTGAGTTCTGATGAAAATAGAATTAGAGAAGTAAAATGGAGAAAAATTTATTTAGTTGCTTAAAAGTAAAATCTGCTCTTGAATATTTAAACAAAAAAGGTAACATACAAATATATAAACAATAATACAATAGACGAATATTTACTTTCATTAATACGACAGTTGTTAAAATATTATTAAACGTATCAATTTATCGGCAAAACAAAAACCCCGACAAAAAAGATCAGCCAACAATATGTTTCTTTTTTATTATATTTTTCTATAAAAAAAGAAACTATAAAGAAACATTTAAAAAATAAATCATCACAAACTGTAACAATTTAATCCTTTCGCCAACGCATCTTTTAACCAAGGCACACAACTCCACACAAACACACACATGCTGCCAGTGGCAGTAGCGAACAGCTGTTGCACCACACATTTCAAACAAGACCTCAACAAAGCACAAGCCACAGGAACTCCACAAATAAATAAAAAAAAAGAAATACAATTTTTATATTGAAACATCCACATTAAATTGTTAAAAAAGAAGAAAAAAAAATTGCGCCACAAATGTAGCAAAGTGAATGAAGTAAAAGAAATCAGTTACAATTGTTAAAAAACTTTAAATTAAATCTGTGTTTTCAGGCTCAATTTAATTCATGTGCATGTGTATTTGCTCTTTCTCTTCCTCTCTTTCGGTATATCCTTTTCTAATGATTGTATGTGTGTAACAGTCAACCAGCCACAAACCATCAACAATTGAAAGGAAAACCCTTTTTTCGTATGTGAATAGAATAGTACGTTTTTTATGTTTGTATCCTTTTTAAAATATTGATGATGCACTAGAAAAGACATCATCCACATCATCTTCATCATCATCCTGTTTAACGTTAAATACAAATGTAATGGTTAAATCCTTTAGAAGGATTTAAGGCAAGCTGTGAGTTAACACATCCCAAACAAATACATAAGTTGTCTAAAGGTATCTGGTTTTTCTTCCAAAGGAAATTTCTATATAAAAGCAATAATATTTTTTTATAAAAAATCGTTAAATTTTGGCGGTTAATGCATTAAAAACTGTATTGTTACATGAATCGTATGTATGTATGTATGCGTTTTTGTTTTTTTGCGGCATAATTCCTTTTTTTCTATATTTTATTAGTTCTGTATTCTCTTTTGTTTGTGCTGCGAAAAAAGTGTATGATGTAATGCATTATCCTTTCTTTTTTTTTTTTTGTAATATTTCAAAGGACAATGGCATTTTAGAAAGTCTGTGTTACTTTTGTTGTCTGTAATAAATTAAGATTTTATGCAATTTTCAATGTTAAAGATCAATATTCTTTTATGCAACTGTAGGCGGAGAAAAGTCCTTTGAGGGATTCGTTTCTTTTTTTTTTTGTATGTGTGTGTTTTTTTAGTTTTCTATTGTCTTGGGTGAAAATTGCTTGGCGGTTTTGTGGAAAGAAAGTAGATGGGTGGTTGGATAAATGCGATGTATTTATTAGAAACTTGTTTTTTAATTAAAATTTGTTAATGAACATATTTTTGTAGTTCATTGGGATGGGGTCTCTGGCCATCTGTCTGCAGGCAGTCTGGGACTTTTATAATATTTGGAAACATTTATCAAAGGACCTAGGAGGATGTATGCTACATCAAATCCGAAGAAATACACCTAGGCCCCTATCGGGCCTGTTGTGCGCTGCTTTTCATGGAAGACAAATCTATGTTAGTAAAACAAACATAGTGTTCACTGAATGGTTCACTTTCAATGTTCAGAAACTCATTTTTCTAGATGTAATTCCTAAGAATTTTCCAAACAGTGTTCGTGAGGAATAATAACACTCCCAACATATTTCTTTAGCAAATCAAGATTTTTCTTATAATTTGATTAAAATTTTTCATAATAATTCAGCATAAAATTTTCTATAATTTCGAAATTTTTCACGATAAATTAAATTCTCACCAAAAACAAGATTTTCCACTTAAAATGGAAATTTTTACAAAAATTTCAATATCCCACTAAAAATGATAATTTTCATAAATAATTTAGATTTTTATTAAAAATTTGACTTTAAGTCATTTTTAAATATTAATTTTACTATAATTTAGATTTTTACTAAAAATTAAATTCTTCACAAAAAAAGATTTTTCATTTAAAATTAAAATTTTCCAACTTGCCATTAAAAATAAAATTTTTTTCAAAAAATTTAAAAATTTAATTTTTCACCAAAAAATGGTTTTTTCAGCTAGAAATTTTCACAAAAAATTATTTTTTATACCCTTCACCTTCATAAGAGGGATACATAGAGGGAAAGGGAAATATAAACGCCTGGTACCAAATTGACACCAAAGAGTTTATAATTTTTCAATAACATCCGTTGTCAAGGTATATACATACGTACGACAACACTATGTAATGTTGACAACATTGCAACAATTCGTTGTGGAAATCTAAATTTTATACACACCCGTTGTCTAAATGTTAACAAACGTGGTAAGCTTACTATTGGCAACGGATTGTTTGTCAATAGTTCCTCAATTCCTCAAACACTAAATTTCACTTTTATCTCAAAATTTGTTTACAATTAACACAATAATGTACACAATTAACAATTCAAAATATCATTGTCATTGGTACAGTACTTTCATTCAATTAAATAGTACCAGAAGTACATACTATTAAGTAGTATATAATAACATCCAATATGAAATATTGCAATATTAAAGCTATTTTTTTTAATAAAACTACAGTCAAATAGAAATTAATTTGTTACACATGTCAATATTTAACTCATGATTAATACTCCTATTAAACGGCTACTAGCTGAAAACCCATCAGAAAATTCATTCAGAGCGGGTTTTGCATTCTTTAAACTCTACATATGTATGTAGTACTAACTATATAACATGAAAATAATGTATCTGAAACATATACAATTTTATTTAATCAATCAATGTCATAAATTATGTATCTAAATACAAGAAAGCAATAACTAAACGGCTCTTTCTAATTGTTAATATTTGATAAGGCCACTACTACTGATACAGTCTATTATTACAAGGTTTCTAAATAGCTACAAAAAAAGGAGTGTATAAATGTTGTAACAAATTCTCTTTTTGCAACACACATTAATGGTAGTCCATGTGCATCACTCGTGTTGCAATTGTTTTGCTATGCAATGTCCGTAACTAAAAAAGGGGTAAAATAAAAAAAAAAACTATTAAAAGATGAGTAATTATTACTAAATTTATGGAAAAACGCAATAGATATTGGTGGAGGTTTATGTGCCTATTAAATAAATATGTAGACAAAAAAAAAGTCCACCCAAAAATAAAAGGGTGTTGATAGACCAATAATGTAATACTATTTTTTTAGCTTCTATTTTTTATGTTGCTAACTGGTAACAAGTGTTAATAATGATGTTGTTATGATAATGTCCAATAAAATGTTTGCTAAAAAGGGGTGTTAAAGGGTTAATAATATGCTGTGTGTGTTTTCTTTGTTTTGTTGTGTGTTGCATTATCTTTTAGAATTTTGGGTTAAAAAAAGGAGTTTTTGGGTTATTTTACTTTGTATTTGTTTGTTTTTATTTGTTTATAAAATTTATGAGGTGTCATTTTATAGAGTTGATTAAAATGGTATTATGTTGCTTATGTTACCCCGGGAACATAAAGAAAGAGATTATTGAAAATCTGTTTTATTCACATTTGTCTTAGAAAAATAATTTACGAGTTTTATTACACATTCGCATTTTTTGTCATCAACTAACACTGTGGAGTTGCCAAGTATCAAATCGAAACTTAATTAAATGTGTATGTATCCAAGAAAAATCACCACTTTTAAAATATATTCGTCAAGCTTTTCCTATTGAGTTAAAAAGCTAATAAAAGCTCTTTTCACTACTTCTTCATTAGCATTTTAAGTCATTATTTTAAAACGGATATGTCATTGGAGGCAAGTACTTCCACGCTCGCTTACAAATAGGGAGTTAAAGAAGTACTTGCAATTTCTCTTACAAAGAAGTTATTTTATTTTACTTCTAAATCAGATTAAAAGAAAGTCATTACTAGAGTACTTCTAAGTTATACAGACAGTAAGTAATAGTCATTGAAAAGTAGGAGGTTATGTAAGTACAACCCATTACTGAGTTTTTCCTGGGAACTTAATAACAAAGTTCCCCACATCTCATGAAGGTAAAGAATATGACTTGTGCTAATTATTGGACTAAATAGTAAATCTGATGTCCCATCTTATTTCATGAAACTTAAATAATATAATTTGTCACATTTTCATTTTAGATCTTTCTACAATTAATGCCTCAAATAGTTGGTATCTAAATCCAACGCAAAGCGAAAATTTAATCCAAAGTACAAATATGGAAATTTCGAATAAAGTAGGACATATAAAACAGGAACCCCTTGAAGATAATGAAAATCTGAAAGATGAAGAAACCTCCAACTCAAAAAGTCACAAACTAGAAAATTACTATACTACAATTGAAAAAATAAATAATTTTAAAACCAACACTCAACCGATCCATGAAATTTATGATGATCATGAAAAGATATATCAGAGTAAACTAACAAATGCCAACTTAGCTTATAGTATGAAATATAATAACGAACTTCATCATTATCAAAATGATATGAAACAATTTACCCATAAATATCCAATATATGAACCAAACTCTTTTCAAAGTAGAGAAAATCAAAAGAAACTTTTTAACAAGCAAGCAATAAAACAAGAGTATTCCCCAAATCAAGATAATATTTTAAATATAAATGAATTAATTAAACATCATGTCAACTCCTGGCACCTTGAACGCAATTCTACCCAATTAAAAGAACAATTTTCCAAATATCTATCAA